CTTACGGCCTTGGCTGATAGGCTTCAAGCCGCCACTGACAGGTGAGACTCGAATGAATTTCGATTAATGATCGATTCTGTGAATCGATCAGAATTTGGTGACACAGTAAAGTGCTCAAAACAGAAAGCATTGATAAAAAAGTTAATGATCAACAAATGAATTTTTGACTATTTCAAACATATGTAGTGCCATATTGGGCTTGGCCAAATTGTGTATTAGTAGTGCTGAATTACACAAAATCACCTTTAACTAGCAAGAACCTGAATTCATAACACTGAAATTGATATCCTACTTTTTCACTGTACTTATACTCTGAACATCAAAATCTGCATACATTTTTGTACATACCTACCTTGATAAGTAGATGATGATGATTATGACATCCTGTCGTCCCTCAAAAGGAAAGTCTCGAAGAAGGCTTTTTAATTTTTAGAAGTTCAAAGTTACGTATATATTTTAAACCAACTATTTCCACCCACAGATACCAAGCCCTAGTAGGGGATGTGCGTTGTTTGTTGATGTTGAATGAGATGAGAAACTCGCGATTATCGTTAACTTTGTTTATTTACGAAAATCGTTACAAAAATGTTAGTTGAATGCACGCCCGTGTACGATGACGACCGAAAATGCACTAAAAGCTAAAAATTGTGGGCCGAGGCTCACGTGTTTGCGTAAAGGTGTTCGGTTACTCCGAACATATTCCCGACCAGCAAAGATGAGGGAGGCTGGGGTGTGCATCCATTACAAAAAAAGTATAAAGTATAAACAAAAATACAAAAAATATTATTATACAATGTTAAACAAAAATAGAAAAATATTATTCCGAATCGTTATTAAAAACTAATTTACGGAACACGGGTCTGGGTTTGCTAAACTCTTTCATCTCGTGTTCTTCTTGAGCTTGCGATTGGTGTTTGTTGATCCTAGAAGTCCTGGGCATTGGTTGAGGTTGATCGTCTCTTCCGGGGTTGTATTCCAGCTTCTACATAATTTTCGATATAGGAAAACAGCGCATAAGATAACCACTATCCCCAATACGATGTAGATAACCGCATAGTGATGTATGTCGTGGTTAGACATTGAAGTGATACTTTCATATTTCTGTTCTTCTTTCAACTGTTTTAACTTCAAGTCTATCTCTCTAAGCAAGTTGTTGTGCACTGTTTCTGTTTCATTTGATTGGTTGTCCAAATTGTCCTCGTATCCTTGATCAATAGTCAGATTGATTATGTGGTTAATCGGTGCCAGGACTGCTGTTTGAGTATCATATTTGACCTTAAATTGACTCTCATAGTGTTTGTGTCCATGTATTGTAAAAGAGTTTGTTGTCATTACGCAATCGCTATCAAGAGTAATGACATTAGCGCGCATAAGTATGTGCGGCGTAATCCGATCTCCGCATATGATTCGCACTTGACACTGCTCGCAACATACATATAAATATGTGTTTATTTTTGTTAATGAAATGAACTGGCTTTTGCACGCGTCACTGCTTGTTTTGCATACATTATTTCTCTCCAGTATGCAAAGATCTTCATCTGACTTCATCTTGTATATCGGTGTGTTTGAGTCACACATGTATGTTGAGCTTCCTCTGGTTATACATTTCTGTAATATTTCTGTAGTTATAGGTGAATAATTGTCTTTCTGTAAGTTAATGGCAACGTAATCTGAAACTGGAGTGATTGCGAGAGTCATGTTTTTTCTGTACAACTTCGGTACTGCAATGAGGTGATAGAGATCATAAGTTTCTCTGTTGATTAATGGTATTTTTATCTCGAATATAAAATACTTGTCTGTAACTCTGGCTCTTATCTTCATAAGTTCGTATATTTGTTTCAAATCTGTGTGAATGTTTTCAATCGGTAGAGTAACGTCGCCTGTTAATAAGCCAGAAATAACATTCAATTGATGTTGTAGTTGTTTTGGTGTTAATAAATGCAGATTTACTCTTCCCTGGTAAACATCAGAAATAGTGTCCAACATCATGTTTTGAATGTTTTTCAGATTTTGAAGCATACTGTTCGCTGCAATTGCTGTTAGAATAAACTCTTGCTGTTTTGTTATTTCGTTTACTTCCGCTTGGATAGTGTTCAAAGCTTTATCAAGGCTGTTCAGGTGTTTGTTTATGACTTTATGTTGCATGGCAACCATTTTCTCCATCCTTTTAATTAAGTTGTATTCAGATTCTACTACCGATGTTTGATTACTCCACAAATTCTTCAAATGTGCTTCGTTTCGTTTTATAAGTTCAATGTCTTGGGCGTACTGTTCTGCGAAGCGTTCATCTAATACGCCGAACAGTCCATTGGCGAGATATCCAATGCCGTTGATAAGCCCGCGACGCCGTCTGGAGTGCTCTATGAAATGTTGTGTCAGCAACAGCTGGTTATAATACTGCAACTCCGTGTACTCGTGACTTTGTTGTGGTACAATCATGTTACATTTGTTGGTATTGTTCATGCGATTGCAGGATTGTTCCAGATAGCTTGAATATTTTTTGAAGGCAGTTATTCCTTCCCAGTACGGTGACATATCGTAGTAGGCTACCAACGTCCACTGGTGTCGTATGAGTTGCATTTTGGCAATGGGATCAAAGTAGATTGCTTGATTTTCGTTCAGTTGGGTGATGTTACTTGTTCCGTAGGCATTTGAAATAAGAGTCATAAAGAATGTTAGTGCCATCACAACGGAGTACAATGTAGCGGAAATGCAGTGCCTCTTGTTTCCTTTCTTTCCTGTTTGTTTAGTTTGTTTGTTATCAGTTTTCGTTTCAGGTTCATCTTGCGCGGGTCGAATAGGTAATAAACACAATTTGACTATTGGCCGCTTGATGATCCCATGTTGAGTTTTCAGTGAAACAACACGTACATATCCGTCGCGCCCAGGGTGCAGTTCGACTACTCGAGCCATCGCCCACTTCCCGGCTGGTAAGTTTTCATCTTGAATAATGACCAAATTCCCTACTTGAATGTTATCCTGAGGTTTTAACCATTTGTTTCGTGCGTTAAGTTGTGACAAATATTCCGACTTCCACCTCTTCCATATTTGTTGAAATAGTTGATTAGTCAAATACCATCTTGTTCTTCCATCTTCAGGTGTTTCTATGATTGTTACTCCTGCCCTGCCTGTGAGAAAGTGGGCTGGTGACAGGTAATCAAGATCATCAATGTTTTCTGTTAGGGCGCACAAGGGTCTTGAATTTAAACAGGCTTCAATTTGTGTTAGTATTGTGTAGTATTCTTCAAATGTTAATTTTTGTGACCCAATCACTCTTCTCAGGTGGTGTTTTAAGCTGCGAACCGCGCGTTCCCATAAACCTCCGGCACTGGGCCACGACGGGGCATTAAAATGCCATTCAATGTTCATATCAGCAAGTATACCCATGAAGTTGTTATCAAATGTTTGTTGCACTTGTTCGTGTTCTTGTTGTAAAATACGATCAGCGCCCACAAAGTTGGTTCCACAGTCGCTATACATATAGCGTGGGGCTCCCGCGTCGGGCCGTCATTCTTCTTAGGGCCGCCAAAAAAGCTGTACTTGTTAGATCTGTTACAAGTTCCAGGTGTATGGCCTTTGTGACCATACAAATAAAAAGTGCAATGTAACCTTTCATCGACCTTGCGTTCCTTGTTTTGTTGCTCTTGATTTCAACGAAACCGGTGTAGTCCACTCCGGTGTGGTAAAAGGGCGGGGCTGGCTCCGTACGTGCAGTGGGTAAATCACCCATTATCTGTTGATGTTGCTGTGGGTTGTTTTTGCGACAAATCACGCAGTTTCTCAGACGTTTTTTCACAGCGTTGTTCCCTCCAGGTATCCAATACTGCTGCCTCAGATTGGCCAGAGTAAGGCGAGGACCTCCATGAAAGGTAAGTTTGTGAGCTTCGTCCACTAAAAGCTCAGCCAGACGACTATCACGTGGTATGATCTTTGGATGCTTCATCTCCATGTTCAATGTTGAGTTTTCAAGTCTGCCTCCAATGCGTAAGACACCAGATGAGTCAATGAATGGATTTAAATTTAATATTTTACTTTTTGTACTTAGTCTTTGCTTATTGCGTAAACATTCAATTTCCGATCTAAATTCCATTTGTTGCACGTTTTTAATTATAAGTAATTTTGCTGCAGTAAGTTCATGTAATGTGAGATATGATGGCATGTCTGTTCGCTTAGGGTGCAAATGCACGTAACAACCATGCAATTATTCTGTTTACTTTATTGAATGAGCTGTGTTTATGCAATAATGTTTCAATAATGTTTTCTTCTTGTTCTTTAACAGTACATGATTTATTTAACCTTACTTCTTCTTCTGTTGTGTAGGTTGGGGTCTCTTGTTCTTGATTTTCGAATGTTGTGAGCCATGAGGGCCCGTGCCACCATAAAATGTTGTCTCTTAATTGTTGTGCGTATAAACCCCGACTCGCTACATCGGCTGGGTTTTCGCCCGACTTTACATAACGCCAGCATGTGCTCGGTATTGTTTCAACTATTTGTTGCACTCGGTTGGCGACGAATGTTTTCCATCGAGTTGGTTCGCCCTGTATCCATCCAAGCACGACCATTGAGTCCGTCCAACCATATATTTGTGTTTTATGTTCCGAAAGTGCATCCTGTGTTTTCTTCATAAGTTTTGCTAATAAATGTGCTCCACTCAACTCTAATCTGGGTAATGTTACTGCTTTTTTGTGAGGTACCAGTTTTGTTTTTGCGGCCAATAGCACTGGCTCTGTTTCGTCGTTGACTCGTGCGTATAAGACACAAGCAAAGGCTACAAGAGACGCATCGCAGAAGCCATGTAGTTCTATGATATCTTCCTTGCGACTGCGTATCCATCTTGGTACCTCATATTGATTAATTGCGCCGAGCTCGCTTTTAATCTTGATCCACTCCTTCTGAATTTCAATTGGCACTTCATCGTCCCATTTCATGTTTTTCTTCCAAACCCTTTGAAACAACAGTTTAAGTTTGGTTGATAAAGGTGCCATCCAACCTAGCGGATCGAAGACCTTTGAGATCTCCGATAACAGTGTTCGTTTTGTTATTCTGGTGTTGTCTTTAGGTTTGTTTGTGTTGTACTGAAATGTTAATTTATCTTCTGTTGAGTTCCAACATAAGCCCAATGTTTTCGAAATGTTTTCTGTTTTAAATGTAAATACTTCATTGTTTGATTTGTTTCCGTCCTTCTTAATGTTATCCAGTAGCTTTTTCTCATTCGACGACCACTTCCTTAAGTTAAAACCACCTAGTTTCATTAGTGCGTTCAAATCCGAGATTAACTGTTTGCCATCTTCAATTGTGTTTGTCCCATGTACAAGGTCATCCATATAAAATGCTGATTCGACAACTTTTGAGGCTTCTGGGTATGTTTCACGTTCATCGGCTGCTAGTTTTCTTAAAGTCATTATTGCCAGAAATGGAGCGGCGCGGGTTCCATATGTGACAGTTGTTAAGCAAAATGTTTGAATAGGATGTTCTAGAGACTCTCTCCAAAATATTTTCTGATACTTTTGATCTCTTTCATCTACTGCTATAAAACGAAACATCTTCTCAATATCACTCGTAAAAGCATATTTATACTGTCTCCATTTTAAAAGAAGTGTTTGTAGATCAATTTGTAAATTAGGGCCGGTATGCATGAGATCATTCAAACTGTACCCTGTATTTGTTTTATGAGAACCATTAAATACCACCCTGTATTGTGTTGTTAAAGAATCGACACGCTCAACTCCATGATGCGGCAAATAATACTCAGGTGTCTGGTTACTAATTGTTGTCGGTATCATATGTTCCATTGTTTTATATTCATTCATGAAGTTCTTATAGTCCTGAGCCAATTTTGGTTGCCTTTTAAATTTGTTTTCCAAGGTTCGAAATTGTGCCAGTGCAGTTTGTTTAGAAGACCCAAGTTTACTTGTTATGTCTTCCTTTAACGGTAACCTGACGACATAGCGTCCATCTTCTTTTCGTGTTGTAGTTTCGTTGTAAAATGTTATGCATTGTTGATCTTGTACTGATAAAGGAGACTGCTCACTGATCTCTTCTATTTCCCAAAATTTTTGTATCTGTTCAATGTTATGCACTATGTTGCACTGGTATGTTTTGGCGGTTCCACATAGCAACCAACCAAGTTTTGTTTGTTGTACGACGGGCTGAGTTGATTCGTCCCCTTTTATCATGCCACTTAAAAGAATTAAAGAATAAACATCTGCTCCAAGCAAAATGTCAATGGGTCGACTAATGTAGAAATCGGGATCCGCAAGGGATATGTTTTCAATAATGTTCCAGTTTGGCTTTTTGAATGTTTTGTTGGGTAAGTTTCCAATCAAGCTGTTCATAATAATGACGTCAGTTCGAAACTCGTAGTCACTGTAGATCGAGCGGCAATGAATGTTTAGTAACCCTTTTCCACTATTTTCCTTTTCTCCAACGCCAATAACCGTTCCTTTGCAATGTTGTCTTTTCAGATTTAACTGTTGCGCCGCCCTTTCTGTTATTAAGGAAACTTGCGATCCTTGGTCTATTAACGCTCTCATATCATGATAAGTTCCATCAGTACCCTTAACCTTCAGCATAGCGGTTGACAACAAAACCTCGGCTGATAAGTCATTTTCATTACTTTGACGCACGTGAGGGTTTTGAATTTCATTTTGTTTTGCTACATTTGTAGTCGATGTGTTGTACCCAATATTGCAGGCATCGTGAATAATGGTATTATGTTTCTTCGAGCATTTTCTACATGTTTGAGGTGATTTACATGGATTGCCATTATGACTAAATAAACAATTCATGCAGACTTTTAATTCCTTCACTGTTTTTAATTTCTGTTCACTGGACATTTCCAAGAATCTTTTGCAGTTATAAAGTCCGTGGCCGTTGTTGCATAATGGGCATTTTATTGTAGTTATGTTGCATGTTGATTTCGTAATAACTTGTTTGTCTGCGCTTCCCTTGTTGTAATTAAAATAATTGTTTGCTCGATGGTAAGGTAATTTTCCATATGATGTTGATGGATTTTGTTGAGAATATTGATTGCCAAATTTCTGTGGCAAGGTTTCGCTCTTGCGACGAGATGACTCTAGTGCAGTAAACTTTTTTTCCAAAAAGTCTAAAAAATCTTTGAGAACCGGTAACTCACGGCGATCTTTCAACGAGTCTATGTACTCGGAATGGGAGTCAACATCTAACTTTTGATCCAAAAGATGTACAAGTAAAGGGTCCCAGGTGGATATGTCCACACCCAGGTTTGTTATTGCATTAAGGCACTCTTGAGTGACGTCATGCATCTTCTTGATTGGCGCTAATGCTTGATGTTTTAAAACTGGTAAATCTAGTAACATGTTGATGTGAGATGTAAATATAAGCTTTTTGTTGTTGTAACGGCGGTTAAGGATATCCCAGCAAACTGTGTAGTTGTCCGAACTAATCGGCAAGTGTTGGATGAGACGCTCAGCTTCTCCTCGAATCTTACTCTTCAGAAACTGCATTTTTTGCGCCTTAGATAGTGAAGGATTGTTGTGGATAGCTTCCGAAAATAAATCCTTAAAGGACACCCATTGGTTGTAACTGCCGTTGAATGTTGGTACTTCTAAGTTAGGTGTTGTTTTGTCTCTATGTTTTTCCGACCACATTTTAGAGTTAATAGACTTCTTCAAACGGAGGTATTGCTTTTCGTATTTATCGTACAGTAGTTCCAACTCTTCTTTACCTTCGGCTTCCAATTCACTTTCAATCTCCCAGTGAAGACAGTCTATGATTTTCCAGCGTGATTCCAATGTTTTGATCGCATCTTCAAGTTCCCAATGTTCTAATAAAATACCTACGTCGATGTTCGATATGGTACGCTGGAAGGCTCTGTAATTAGCTGTTTGTTTTCGCAGTTTTTCGGTTAGCTTATTGTTAACATTTCCCGATTGCTTTTCCTCTAAACAATCATTGTAATACACTTTTAATTTTTTTCTCATCTA